TTTCAAAATAAAAAAAAAAAATAAGGCCAGGTGTAGTTGTGCATACCTGTACTCCTAGTGGCTTGGGAAGCTGAGGCAGGAAGATTGCAAGTTCAAAGCCAGCCTCAGCACTGGCAAGGTGCTAAGAAACTCAGTGAGATCCTGTCTCTAAATAAAATAAGGGCTGGGGATGTGGCTCAGTTGTTAAGTGCTCTTGGGTTCAATCCCTGGTACCAAAAATATTTAAAAATAAAAATAAAAAGGGCTGGGGCTGTGGCTCAGAGGTAAAGCACCTTGGGTTCAGTCCCAGTACCAAAATAAATAGATGCATAATGTAAAACGAGGCCACTATGATGAATGTCCTTATGAGAAAACAGGACCAGGACTCAGACACACACAAGGAGGCCCATGGGAGGACAGGGAGAAGGTGGCTGTCTATAACCCAAGGAGAGAGGCCTCAGGGTGACCAGCCCTGCCCACACCTTTGACCCCAGGCTCCAGCCTACAGACCATGACAGAATAAATTTTTGTTCGAGCCACCTAGTCGTGTCCCTGATGAAAGAGCCTGATGAAAGAGTCCAGTGGGTATGGACTCAAATGGTTAGTCTGTACATCCAAGGCACCTTGCAGGCAAGTGGTCTGTTGTCTCTAGGACTTAGCTAGCCTGGGGGTGGTTCCTCCCTGATTCTAGGAGACCCCAACATGTCAACATGTAACAGGGTCCACTTTATGCTTTGAACCTAAGCATTGCAACTTTGAACCTAACCACTTCAACTTATTTTAAAATGCACATGTTTCTTTCTCTTCCTCTCTCCCTGCTCTTCCCTAATCTTTCCCCATCTCTAATCTCAGGGGAAATAGGATTACCTCTCTTCCCCATCCTAGGCAGAGCTTATCTGTTCCTGAGCACACACCCACCACAGGAAGGAAGTAATCCAGACTTTGGGGATGGCACCAGAAGATCTTAGAAAGGACTCTCTCCCAAGTGAACAAGTGAATCACAACTGCAACAGAGAACAAGTGGAATGTAGCCTTTGAGTCACCTCTTTAAAAATCCCCTGCTCCTGCTGATGGGCAATATTGGCATCAGATCAATATTGGCATCAGATTCACCATTTCAGATCAGAGTCGTTTTATCTAGAAGTTCCAAAGTTTTGATTCGGAGGCAATGCTGTTTAACTTCCATAAGAAGATGTGCCTGTGAAATGATCACCCCCACCCCAGCCCCCTGCTCCTGCTGACAGGCAGAATCACAGCCTCTTGGACAGGAGTCCCCTGTGTTTCTCCTTTGCTGACAACGCAATAAACTTTCTTCTTCCTTTTTCTCAATACTGTGTCCTCATTATTGGTCGATATCAGGGACAAGGACCGAGCTTTCACCAACACACACATGTGACTTTTAGAAAGTAAAGAGCATGATGACTCCCAAAAGCCATCAGAAGCAGGCAGTTCTGGGGCTCAGGTGCTCCCTCCAGGTCTAACTCTGCTGGCAGGCCCTGAACCAAGAACCTCTGGTTTGAGTTTCATGTTCAGCTTAGAAGAAAGCTGTTCCCTTGTTCCATTCTGACACCCCTGTTCCTTTCCAGCTCTGTGAATCCCCTTAGAGGAAGGTCTGTGCCTGAGCCCCAGCCTGGCCCACCCTGCTTCTGCTGTGTCCATCCAGGTTGGTGAAGAAGAAACCCAGCCCTACCCTGCACTCAGAGTGTGATGATCACGGAGCCTTCTGGCTTCCCCTTCTGTGAGGTGCCGGTGAGTGTCCTTCCTGTAGTACTGAGAAGAGGCTCAGGAGCACAGAGAAACTGCTCATGTTGGGTATCCACGTAGGGGCCTGGGGGTGTTGGCACCTTTGTCTCCTCATGCTGGGTTCAGGTCTGTCAGTCAGTCCTAAATGTTTATAAAGCTTCTCCTGCAAAGACATTCAGAGAAAGGGCAGAAAGGGGGTGAGAGGGTGAGCAGTGGCATGCCCAGCTCCGTCCCTCCTCTCCAGCTGCTCTGCCTTCAGGCCTCTGTCCTGGTTCCCCTTGCTTTTGGCAAGTCTTCCTCCAGCTTCCTTCTGCACTGTAGCAGGCAGTGTTATGCTTTCAAGGGCTCCCTCCCTCACCCTGACTGGGGAGCATCCCACTGACCTCATCTCCCAGGACTCTGCATTCTCCTCTGTGGAGCATCCAGGGCTATCAAGCATTTGTCAGTGATTGGGTGCTGATGCTTTCAATTACTTCCACAGACCCTCCTCTCTCCAGGAGGTGCAGCTTACTATGCACCCTCGATTCGGCTGGATCTAGTGATTTCAGAGTGCAGGTGTGGGGGAAGTGAGGGATGGCAGGTCACGGAGGTACTGCAGATCACGCACTCTGGGGATGGCCAGCTGCCATGTTGGGAAGATATTCAAGCAGCCATACAGAGGGCCCCACCTTCAGAAATGGAGGTCTCCCACCAGTAGCCATGTTCATGGGATTAAAAGGGGACTCTGCAGTTCCATACACATCCTCGGGGGGCCTGGCTAACAAATTGACCACAGTCTCCAGACACCCTGCTACAGTTTGGATCTGGAGTGTCTTCCACAAGCCCATGTGCTGAAGGTTTGGTCACTGGCTATGACACCACCAGAGGTGGTAGGGAATTCAGGAGGTGGGGTTCAGTGGGAGGAGACTAGATCATGGGGGAATATCCTTGAAGGGGAAATTGGGACCCACCTCTTCTTCTCATTCTTTGCCCCCTGGCTGCTGTGAGTGAGCAGCTCTGCGCTACTACATGCTCCCTACCATGGGGTTCTGTCTTGCCACAGGACCAACAGCAACCGAGCCAACCCACCCTGGACTAAAACCTCTGAAACTGTGAGTCAAAATAAACCTTTTCCTCCTTTTTTTTTTTAAAAAAATATAGTTAATGGACCTTTTATTTTTATATATTTATTCATATGTGGTGCTGAGGATCAAACCCAGGGCCTCACACGTACCAGGCAAGTGATCTACCACTGAGCCACTACTCCAGCCCCTTTCCTCCTTTCAAATTGATTTATCTCAGGTATCTGCCATAGTGACAGAAAGCAGACTGACACAGACCCTAAGTCAGAACCACTCAGTCAAGCACCTTCCAGGCCTCTGACTCCAGTAATTGTGTGCGATGATCCATGCTGATGCTGTGAGATGCTCAGTTTTGGAGTAACTTGTTTTGCAGCAACAGATAACTAATTTGCCAACAGATAACCAAGTTGGTGAGCCTGGCCTTGAACTTACAATTCTCTTGCCTCAGCTTCCTGAGTAGCTGGGATTACAGGCAGGTGCCACTGTACCTGGCCTGCATACGGCTTTAAAACATGTAAAACAATGGACAGATGGCCCTTCATGTCCATGAGTCTTTGGGTTCAACCAACTTCAGATGGAAGATATTTGGAAAAAAATTGCTTTGTATTGAATACTTACCAGCTTTTTTTTTGGTCACTATTCCCTAAACAAAGTAATATAACAACTATTTACATATTATTTACATTGTAGTAGGTATTGCAAACAATCTAGAGATAGTTTGAATTTCAGGGCTGGGGTTTAGTGGAAGTAGGTACTTAGAATACATGAGGCTCTGGGTTCACTGGCAGCTTCAGGAGGGAAAAGTTATCCACTGGAAATCTGAAATATTCACTTGTATTTGATTTTGTTAGTTTTGCAATTTTGTTTTTACTATTAGTCCTTAATGTCACTCACACTGCATTTTAAAACAAAGTAAGGTCGAGATTCCATTTACCCTTTCCTTTCCTTTCTTTTTCTTTCTTCTTCTTTTCTAATACCAGAGATTAAACCCAGGGGCACTTAACCACTGAAACACATCCCTAGACCTTTTTACTTTTTGTTTAGAGACAGGGTCTCACTAAGTTGCTCAAGGCCTCCCTAAGCTGCTGGGGCTGGTTTTGAACTTGCCATCCTGCTGCCTTGCCTCCTAATGGCTGGGATTACAGGCATTCACCACTGGCCTGTGCCTGGTGTACCCGTTCCTTTTCCACTTGGAAATCCCAACACTATTGAAGAACCTATCTTTTCCTGATTTGCGGGCCCTATATTTCCTGTATACTTAGGCTTGTTTCAGGATTCTTAGATTTACTCCAATTGTCTCTCCACAAATACCATGTTGCCTTTGAGGTAGCTTTTAAATACAGAAGGGGAATTCTGCTTGAGCTTTTTACCCCCTCCCCACCTGCCTTCCTTCTTTCTGGATTTTTTCCCCCACTATTCTTGAGGATTATCTCTTCCAGATGACTTTAGGATCAGCTTATCAAGTTTTTTTGAAAAATCCTGTTGACATTTCTATTGGGATCAAACTTACTGGTGAAGAATATACGTTTTTACAACGTTACTTCTATCTGGTAATGGATGTTTTTCTGATTCAGTTTGAGCTCCGGTCATGCCCTGCAATGAAGGTTTGGAGTTTTCAAAAACGTGGTCTCACATTTATTTTCAGGCTTCCTCTAAGAGATTCCTGGGTGTCCAGAAGACTGTGAGCAGCATCTGCAGACGTTTGAGGGCTGCGCAGGTAGTAGGGTGCCTCTTGCTCAGATTCCACTTTGGGCGGGACCACCGAAAGGAGACTGTCACTGTCAAAAATTGGGGAATCCTAGGGGGAACAGATAACAAGAGGCTGATGGTGCAGAGCGCAAGGCAAGAGTCTTCACCTGGCAGAGTCTTCACGTAGACGGGGGCGGCGTGGTCTCAGAAGGCGGCACCCTCCCTCAAGTCCCGCCCACAGCCCCTGGTCCAGTCCGAGGTCGCGCTCGCCGCCAGGCCCCGCCCATCAATTCCGCCCACAGCCCTGGTCCTGTCCGAAGTCGCGCTCACTGCCCCGGCCCCGCCCACCATTCCCGCAAAACCTCCGCCACAGACTCTAGTCCTTTCCGAAGTCCGGCTAACTGCCCGAGCCGCACTCACCGCCCCGGCCCCGCCCACCCACATACAAGTCCCGCCCACAGCCCGGGTGCCGGGCCGGGCCCCGCCCCCCGCCCCGCGCGCCCCGCCCCGCGCGCAGCGCGCGGCTCCGGAGGCCTGCTAGCCTGCTGTGTAGAGGTCCGGTGGCCGCGTCCCGCTCGGAGGTCGTCGGTTCGAGTCCTTGTTCGCGCAGCGGCTCCGGTGCCTGTCCTGATCCCGCGGGCGCTGCCGTTGCGAGCAGCGCAGCCCGGCGCTCGTGGCGAATCTGCCGCCGCGAATCGGAGGGCCCGGCGCCGGCGGCCTCGCGAGAGTGCGGCGCGCACGGACGCGGGCGGCAGGCCTGGCGGGCTGAGGGCCGCGGGCTGAGGGCCGGGCGGCTGGGCTGGGCGGGCGGGCCGGGCCGGGTTGGGCCGGGCCCCGCGGCCGCACCATGACGGGCCGCGTGTGCCGCGGCTGCGGCGGCACGGACATCGAGCTGGACGCGGCGCGCGGCGACGCGGTGTGCACGGGCTGCGGCTCGGTGCTGGAGGACAACATCATCGTGTCCGAGGTGCAGTTCGTGGAGAACAGCGGCGGCGGCTCGTCGGCCGTGGGCCAGTTCGTGTCGCTCGACGGTGGGTCGCTGCGGGGGCGGGCCTTCCCTCCCCGGGTCGGGACTCGCGCGTCGCCCTGGGCATGTGTGAGTCGCTCTCCCGGCAGAAGTTGGTCCTGGCCGGAGTTCGGGTTTTGATACCCAGCAGTTGGTATTTTGTCGCTAGATCAGTCTTGGTGTCACGTCTAGAATGTTTTTTGTCTGACCCTAAGGTGCCGCGTTTATCTTCAAAAGTTTTTTTTTTTCTTTTACATGTTTTGCATTTGCTTTTATATTGTTCTTATTTTTCCGGCGCCGGAGACCTGGCCGGGGCTTGAGGCAAGTCCCTCCGCCGACTTGGGTCCCGGGGCGGCCGGGCTGGGCGGGGGCGTGGCTCTGGGCGGGGAGCTCTGCGGGGGGCGTCCCCTGCGCCGCCCGACCGCCCGCTCTGGCTGCGCCCGCCGCCCTGGCTCCTTTGGCACGGATCACTGGGTCCCTTTCTGGTGGGTCTTTTTCTGGGTTCTGTCTGTGCCATTTCCATTGTCGCCACCACAATGTTTCGTTTATCGTATGTTTGTTTATTATTTTTTATTTTTTTGCAGTATTGAGGATTAAACTCGGGTGCTGGGGATTGAGCTCAGGGCATTAGCCTCGTTTATTGTACGTTTTACGTTGTCTTGAAATCAATTATTGTGTGTCCTCTAACTTTGTTCTTCTTTTTCAAAATTGTTCCTTTTGTAGTCCTTTTCCGCTTTCCTTTGTTTTTACACTAGGTTTGTATATATGTACGAAATTCCTGCTTGAGTTTTTAATGGAATTGCATAAAAATTTTTCGATAAATGTAGGAGGATTTGACATTTTTAATGTGTCGAGTCTTCCAGTCCACGAACACAACATGTCTCTCCCTTCATTTAGGTTCTTTTTGGAATCTTCCATCAGAGTTTCCTTATTTCATAGCTTCTCTATATTTATTACAGATATTCCTAAAATCTATTTGGAGCTGTTGTGAATGGAATTTCTTTTAACAGTCAGTTTGCATTAATTCATTGATAGTAGTGTGAAATACAGTTAAGATAGTGTTTAGAAAGGTGGTCGATTTACCTTTTTTTTCTTTCTTTCTCTCTTTCCTCCTCCTCCTTCTCCTGGGGATCAAATCCGGGGCCTCTTGCATTCTAGGAAAGAGCTCTACCACTGAGTGACACCCCCAAGCCAATACAGTAACATAATTGATTTCTGTGTGTTGGCCTATTCTGTAACCTTGCTAAGCATACTTGTTCTGGGTTTCTTATGCACTGCGATTTTCTGATAAGTAATTATGTTGTCTATAAATATAGACTTATGTTTCTTCCTTTTGTTTCTCTTGTTTTGCCCTACAAGAGAAATTTTTGCCTTGTTTTGATGTTAGAGGGAAGCATTCAGTTATTCAGTTCTTTCTGTTCAGTGGGATGCTAGCTGTAGGGTTTTTTTTTTTTTTTTTGTACTGGCGATTGAACTCAGGGGCACTTGACCACTGGGCCACATCCCCAGCCTTTTTTTGTATTTTTATTTAGAGACAGGGTTTCACTGAGTTTCTTAGCACCTTGCTTTTTGCTGAGGATGGCTTTAAACTCATGATCCTCCTGCCTCAGCCTCTGGAGCCACTGAGATTACAGTGTGCTTCGCTGTACCTGGCTAGCTATAGGTTTTTGATACTTGTATTTCATCAGCAAAGTTGAAATTCCCTTTCTACTCCTAGTTTGCTCAGTTTTTTTTTTTTTTTTAATGAGTAGATGCTGAATTTTGTCAGATGCTTTTTCTGCATCAGCTGATACTGTCGAATGTTTTTCTTTAGTCTGTCATTGTGACTTTTTAAATTTTTTTAAAATTTTTAAATTTTATTTATTAATTTTGGTAGTAGGAATTGAACCCAGGGTCACTTACCCACTGAGTCATATCCCCAGCTGTCCTCCCCCTTTATTTTTTATTGAGACAGGATCTCACTAAGTGACTTAGGGCCTCGCTAAGTTGGTGAGGCTGGCTTTGAACTTGTCCTCCTCCAGCCTCCAGAGGCCTCCCAGGCCTCTGGGATTACAGACATGTGCCACCATTTATTTATTTATTTTTGCTGTGCTGAGACTGGAACCCAGGGCCTTGTGGATGCTTTAAGTTAGTGCTCTGTCACTGAGCTAGACCCTCAGCTCTTGACTTTTGAATATTGAACCTGACTTGAGTTCCTGGGGTAAGCTCACTTGTTATGGGATATTATTCTTTAAATGTGTTTCTGGGTTAAGTTTGCTAATATTTTGTTGAGGACTTTTGTCTATGTTCATGCGGGTTATTGGCCTGTGCTTTCTTTAATGTCCTTGTCTACTTTCTGTTTCAATGTGCTGTACCTCACGGAATGAATGGGAGATGATCCCTCCTCTTTTATTTTCTGAAAGAGATTGTATAGATCTGATTTTCATTTTCTTCTTAAGAGTTTGGTAGAATCCATCAGTGTAGCCATCTGGGCTTGGAGGTCTCATCTTCAGAAGTTCACAGTTATAAATTCAGTTTATTTATTTATTTTTTACTTTTTTAAAATTTGTTTTAATTAGTTACACATGATAGTATAATGATCTTTTTTAAAATTTTTTTTTTTAGTTGTACATGGACACAATACTTTAATTTTTTAATTTATTTTTATGTGGTGCTGAGGTTTGAACCCAGGGCCTCACAGGTGCTAGGTGAGCACTCTACCCCTGAGCCACGACCCCAGCCCAGTACAATGATCTTGACATATCATACATTTGAATCAGATGGGAAATTCAGTTTCTCTGGCAGTGGAGTTTATTGTTAGGTTTTAGATCGTTTCACCTTGGGCTGGTTTTGGTCATTTGTTCTTGACAATATGGGCCAGTTGGTCTAGTTGTTGAATTTATGTGCCTAGAGTTATTGGTGGCACTCCTGTGTCCTTTGACACCTGCAGGGCCTGTAGTGGCATCCTCCCTCCTTACCAGTGATGAGGTCTGTCCTCTCTCTCTCCTTGTATTGCCTGAAGTTTATCAGTGTGGTTGGTCTTTCCAGTTGGCTTTGGGTTTGCGTTTTTCCTCCAGCTCTTCCTTTCCTGTGGTCTGTTTCACTCATCACACAAGCCTTTGTTCTTTGTGGGTGACTTCCCAAGGGAGTCTTCCAGACTGCTGGAACAGTGGCTCTGTGGCATATTGTCTGCAGCCTTGTCACAGTTGCCAGGACATTGATGCCTGCTGGGGTGATAACAGCAGTAATAAAACAAATCATGGTGGTGGCAGACACATAGGGCTTTCTGTGGGAAGGCACTGTGGTAGGGGGCCCCATGGCCTAGTAAGAGCTGTTGTCCTCAGTACGTCCCTAGGGTATAAGAGAACATGGTGTGGAGCAGGTTTGGGGTGAGCTCTCACCCATGCATACTGGGAAGTCTGTCATAGGAGCCTTGAACAGATGATCAGACAGGTTCTTAGGAGGCACTAAAATACTTCTCCAAGGAGAGGTAGCCCCAGCAACCAACAGTTGAAGCTCTTGGGAAGGTGCTTGGGGCTGTGATTCTTAGCCCCAGGGAGAGGAGGGTGGTGCAGGTTGGGTCCAAGTAGGAGAGCATTGGCTGCTCAGGGCATTCATTTCATCTCCCAGGTATCCACCTGGCATCCCTCTTCTCCCTCAGCATGATTACACAATCACCGAAACTGGAGACTTGTCAGTTTCCAGCACTTGAGTAGGACCCCAGAGCCCCTTGCCCAGCTTACCCTTCCTCTAGCCTCATCCTGAAAGCCAAGATTTCCCATGAATGGCTGTTTTCTAGGTCTAAAGCCACTGTCCTGCCTAAGTGTAAGAACTTATTGAGAACGAAGCTGGACACTTAGCTTAGAGGTTACTCTGGAATGTGTAAGATGTCAGGGTAGTGTGGCAGGACCTGCAGCAGGAGCGCCTGCTCAGAAACCACAGTCTGTGCAGAGGGAAGGGAAGACTGTCAGAACTGCTGGCCCAGAGTGGCCAAACAAAAGGCTGTGGGCAGGCCTGGAGAAGGCTGTGCCGCTCCATGGGGGTCTGTGCTCACTCCCATATGTGAGGATTATGGGGGCAAAATAGGACTTCCTGGAAGCACACACCCCAGAGTCCTGTGCTGTGCATCTCTGAGCCTGCTTCTGTCACTGGGTGGTGGCACACACATTCCTGCTTCTATCATTCCTGAGGATGCTGATGCACAGGGAGCACCTACCCCTTCTGCTGGGAGCAGCAAACCTTCTCTGTCACCAGAACATATGTGGGTGGGTTGGGATCATCTCTGATTTCCATAATCAGAATTTTTTTTTTCCCTTTTTTGCGGTGCTGGGGATGGAACCCAGGGCCTCACACATGCTAGGCAAGTACTCTACCAAGCCCTATAATTAGAACTAACTTTCTTTTTTTTAAGTTGTTGATAGAACTTTATTTTTATTTTTATGTGGTGCTGAGAATCGAACCCAGTGCCTCACACATGCTAGGCAAGTGCTCTACCACAGAGCTATAGCCCCAGCCCCAGCCACTATAATTAGAACTTTCAGTGGCTGTACACTTGGTCCTTTATATCAAGGTGTCTGTAAGTGTTGGTGCTGCTTCCCTAGACCCTTTTGTGACAGATGCCCCATTGCTGGAATTGGGAAAGGCTTACTGTCCCAGCCATGGTGAGGGCCTGGCAGGTGGAGCCACTCTTGCCTGCCCCTGTGGAATGTTGCAGCCTTCCAGCCCTCCGTGTGTCACTGTGGTGGGAGCCGGATGTGGGCCTGGCAGGCTGGCAAGGTTTTGTCCCCAGGTTAAAAGACTTGTTGGAGTCTCTTTGTATTCTGTGGCCCTTGAGAGTCCTGCCATGTCCTGGCAGAAGGTATCTGTTCTCGGGAAATGCTGACTGGATTCCATCCTGGAGATACCTGGGTGAGGGAAGACTGGTCCACTTTTTTGGCCTCCCTGGTCAGGTTGTGATCACCTCAGATGAGCGTTTGGGGAATGGCCTGCTGAAGAGAGTTGGCTGATGCCGTGTTCAGCTGTTCACCTGCAGTGTTCTCACGCCACTGAGCTTTCTGTAGATGCCATCCTTAGGGACTCTCCTGGTGTCATGTGGTCCTCATCCATAGCACTCAGGGTCTCTGTGGCCCCAAGGCGCCTCCTGGGTGTGCATGTAGGTGACAAGTTCAGCAGTAAGGCCAGCTGAGTTCCTTTCCCTGCTGTGCTGCCCAGAGTGGTCTCAGATAGGTGTCTCCCCTTCAAAGGAATGTCACTGCAGCAACAGTAACTCCTTGGCTAGGTAAATTGACATGATTCATGAACATTTTCCTGTGCTGGAAGAACCCTGAGAGGGATAGAGGAGGTGCTGTGTGGGGGCCTTTTGGGGCACCCTTGGCTCCCTTTCTCGCTCTGGTCCAGGATGTGGGTGTGGCTTTGTCTGCACCGCAGAGCCGGCCAGTGTCTTCCTGGGGAGTGTCTTCCTGGGGAGCAGCCCTTAGCACTTTTTGCTCCCCAAAGGGCTCTTTGAGTGGACTGGAGTTCCAGGTCGCTCCCCCACTGTCCACCAGGGGGCGTTCTCACCCAGGCCTGGCTATGTGGTACTTCCTGCCTGAATCTTTTGTTATAAAACTTGTAGAAATACCAAAAGGTTTAGAAGCAGAGTGTATTTGAAGGACAGGCATTCGCGGTTGGCAATTTTGGCCAGAGGTCATCCTTGGACTCTCTAAAAGATGAAAAAAGAAAGCCCAAGTATGACCCTTAACATGCTGAGATTTGCTGAATAAGTGCTTTTTATACCAGCCATGTATGATTCCCACTGTGCGTGGGTTCATATGTCATGTGTGAGTGCTTGGGGGGTAAAGCACAGTCAAGAGGCAGCTCCCAGAGCCTATGTGGCCTGTGCTGCCTGGGCCAGGTGGCTGGGGTAATGGGGAGAGACAGGGGCATGGGGGCACGGAGGGTGAAGGAGGGGGAGCGGAGGGCAAGGTGGGCGTGGCTGAGGGAGGTGGCAGCGACTTGGCAGCTTTGCAAGTGTGCTTTGGGTAGCACTGGAGTGAGAAGATTGAGGATCAAGGAGATTACATTACACTCTGAGCCAAAGCTGAAGTCACCCTCTTACTGAACGCGGCATCTCTCCATGGTCCTGTTCTGTAAGGAGACCCCTGGCTGCCCCGAGTCTGAGCAGAGATAGGTGGCCAGAATGGAGGCCACCAATCCCTGTCCCTGGAAGGTGGGCTTCAGGGGTTTAAGCTTTGACCAGTGTCCTTTTCTTTTTCTTTTCCCTTCCTTTCCCTTCCCTTCCTTTCCCTTCTTCCCTCTCCCTCCCTCCCTTCCCTTCCCTTCCTTTCTTTTCTTCCCTTTTCTAACCTCACCTTTTGCCCTCCCCTCCCTGCCCCCTTCCCCCTTCCTTTCCTTTCTTACTCCCTTTCTCTCTCTTTCTTTCTTATGTTAGGCTTGAACCCAGGGGTGTTCTACCACTGAGCCACACCCCCAGCCTTTTTTATTTTTTGAGATAGGGTCTCACTGAGTTGCTGAGGCTGACCTGGAACTTGTAGTACTCCTGCCTTGGCCTCCTTGGTAGCTGGGATTACAGGTTGCATCACCACACCAGATGATCAGCATCTTTTCTTAATTCACTATTACTTGACTTTTATTAAAAGCACATGTCCATTTAAATTAGAGCATCAGGGACTCTCTCTCTCTCTCTTTTTTTTTTTTTTTGGTACTGGGGAGTGAATTCAAGGGCACTCAGCCTTATTTTGTATTTTATTTAGAGACAGGGTCTTACTGAGTTGCTTAGCACCTAGCTTTTTGCTGAGGCTGGCTTTGAACTCACAATCCTCCTGCCTCAGCCTACCGAGCTGCTGGGATTATAGGCATGCGTCACCGTGGCCTGCCTTTTTTTCTTTTTTAAAAAATAAAGGTTGGAAGGTGTGTGTGCTGGAAGCAGGTGAGCTGAGGTGTGCTGTCCTGGTCTACATATGGAACTACAGACGGTCATGGGTCTCCTTTCTCTAAAAGATTTCAAGTGTAAAAATTCTAGAGTTTAAAAAAAAACACCATCACAAAACAAAGGTAATGAATGCAGATAGTGAGACCTGTGTTGGATTTCTACAGGCCCAGAGTTGAGACAATGGTGTTTGAAGCCTCCCTTGCTCCTGGTGCACAAAGTTGCGCAGCCAGATGGGCTGCCCTCTGGCTGCCTCTCCCAGGGTCTCCCTGTGTCAACGGCTCGCTAGCCCACTCACTCTGCACACAGCTTCTTGTGGGGTTTGCAGTGACTCGCTTGGGCAGGACAGCAGACAGAATGTTTCTGGGCTGCCACTTGTCCAGGAGCCTTGCTCTGTTGCAGAGGGTTGCTTGTGGCTGTCCTTCATTCCCCTGGCCTGGGATTGTGTTGAAGCCCAGGAGGCAGCAGGGCCAACCCTGGCCCCTGCTGGTGGCTGGAGACTTGTATGGCCTGGGGCTGCTTTTTGGGTTTTCTTGCCTCCTCTGATTCTGGCTGGATTCCAACTAACCTGAGAGTCAGCTGCTGATCTTTATCAGTATGTCACAGACAATCAGGAGACTGAGCTTGTGCTATGCTACTCTGTGGCTGGCACTGGGTCCCTGTGGTGCAGCTGGCCACCCCGTGCCTCTTGCAGAGGGCCTGTCCCAGGCTTGGGTGATGCACTTCCCTGTCACTTCTGCATTTCCATTTCTTTTCACCTGTGTCCCCCGTTTGGTTGTCTTGTGTATGTGTCCTTAATTGTAGAAGCCTCAAGTCCCTGTGACTGTGCTTTGTCGTAAGTGTACTGGCCCCTGTGCTGTCACGAGATTTACTCCTGTGGGACAAGAGGCAAGTTCTGCCATCCCTGCCTGTGCTCATACTACCTGGCTTCTTTACTTCAGCATAAAGCATATGAAGATCCAGCTTCCAGTGGGATGGTGGTCTGGTGAACCATCCATATGTACACGCAATGTTTTCAAAGGGTATTGTAGCCTGAGTCCCAGTCCCGAAGCCCTGCAGAGATGTCCTGGGCTTACTCTCAATTGGCTGTGACCACACTGAGCACTGGTGCTTTCCTAGGCAGCTGTTCTCTGTGGGAGGGTAGCATACAAGTGGGTAAAGGCTCAGCAGCTCTGGGGCCACTTAGGATGTGATCTCTGGGCTCCAGGAGCCTGCACTCCAGTGGTATAGCGTCTGAGATGCCTGGCCTGGGCATGGTTGAGGGCTGTGGGAGGGACACGGAGGCCCAGCCTCTACTGTGTAGGCACCCCAGGCTGCAGGGGGACAGAAGTTCACTGGGACCCATATTGTGTTAGGAACATGCTTGGAATATGCAAACAGATGTGGTCTGCCCTCAGGGCTTTGGGGTCAAGCTATATCACTGGGCTAGTGGAGCAGAGGGGCCTCTCTGCTTGGCTTATGTCCCTTCGCTGCACAAAGACTAGACCATGCTTTGTTCTGCATGCAGTGAAGGGGCGTGGGTCTTCACCATCAGGCTCTGGCTAACCGGTTTCTTCTGTGTTTCCAGGTGCTGGCAAGAACCCAACCCTGGGCGGTGGCTTCCATGTGAACTTGGGGAAGGAGTCAAGAGCACAGACCCTACAGAATGGTATTGCCACTATGGATGTTGCTGACAGTGGTGTGGGGCAGCAGGCGGAGCTGCAGTGCTGGGATGGAGATGGGAGCAGAGTGGCTGGCTGCTGCTTCAGGTCCTGTGGTGCCACCACCCTCTACCTGTGGCCTGCCATGGCCTGTCACCCTCCAACCCCAGGGATGCTTGCACTTCTGGGAGGAACTGCTCCTTGAGTCCCCTCCCCTGTCATCAGAGCCTGCATGGGCATCCTGTAGGCCCTGTCAGGGCTGCTCAGAAAGAAGTGCCTGGACCCTGTTGCGCCCACAGCTCTTTGTTCCTGGTCTTAGTCAAGTTGAGTATAGAAGCAGCAAGTCTATAGTAATTTGCCATGACAGTAATATTTTCATTAGGTTTTATAGTAGTGCCAGTCTTTAACAAACTGTAGAATTGCTTTTCCAGTCCTTGGCCAGTTGCTACAGGAGTAGGAGTGCTTGGGAATATTATTCCCAGCAGAAACGCGTCTTAGCTTCCCGTTGTGCCATTTGCTCTGACCTTGTGGACTTACTAATAGACTAATGTAGTGAACTCTTTTCTTCTGATTTCCGGTTTGATTATTCTCTAGCAGAGATGAGGTTCTGTAGGATTTCAGCCTTTGAACAAATGCCTCCAGCTTATGCCATGGTCCAGCTAATGGTCAGCTTGGATCTTTTTCCTGCAGGAGGATGGAGTAGGGCTGTGGGCTTACCCCTGTGGACTTTGGTTCTGTTTGTTCTGCTAACAGTGAGAGGGCAGGAAAGCCTCCCACCCGCCTCTGGCTATGCCTCCTGCACATGGATTTGTGTATTTTTGCCTGCTTTAGCACTCCTGATCGGAGCACTCACATGGGATCCTCACTGCTTGTAGCACTCGTGGTCTTCTCACCCACCCAGGTGTGGCCCACCCGTGCTTCTGGTCCTTGCCCAGATTATCTCCATTTTTGCTGCCACTGATTCTACGTTTGTTCCCAGTAGTGCATGTTTATTTCCAGAGCCTACTCTGTTGATTAGAGCAGTACACCCAGCTGAGGGCAGAGTGCCTTTTCTGCAGACACATTCATCACCGTGAAATCAGAAACTAAACAGAAAGATAACCCATCTGACTTCTAAACACTCCTTCAAACACCCTAGCCTTGCTTTAAGTAGGAAATCTATACAGTGTGCCAACTCTCAGGGCATGGCTGTCATGGAGGCAGCCCGTTCCTCACATGGGAGTCCTGCACCCTATGCAGGTTACCATTTGGTTCTCAGCTTCCAAGAGCCTTCAGCTGTCGCCCTCTGTAGACCACTCTCCTGGGGCTTTCCCCTGAGGTCCGGGGTGGCTGCCTGCTGCAGGGCCACGTCTCCCTCCCACTCTGCGTGTGGACTTCACCACCACCTACCTGCTCAGGTGTTCCTGCCTCCACCTTGCTTTTCCCACTGGGCCCTGGTGTGAATGGCCTACTGTCAGCCTCTGCCCCACTGCAGGGACCTTTTGCTTGTTCTTGTGAGTTCATGTCAACTTTATCTCTTTCCTATCATCTGGTACAGCTTGGGTGGGTGCCTAATGGGGCAGGTTTCAGCAGTCTTTCCAGAACCCCCTGGAAACGCAAGGGCACCTGGCTCCCTTTGGTGGCTGCATTTCCAAAACATTGGGGTTCTGCTGCTTCTCAGTTCTTTCTTTCTTTCTTTTCTGGTGCTGGGGTTTGAATCCAGGGGGTGCTTAACCATTGACCCACGTCCCCACCATTTTTTTTAAATTTAGGGACAGGGTCTTGCTAAGTTGCTTAGGGCCTCACTAAGTTGCTGAGGCTGGCTTTGAACTTCTGTCCTCCTGCCTTAGCCTCCCGAGCCACTGGGATTACAGGCGTGTACAACTTCTTTGTGATTATCTTCCTTTGTAAAATGCTTCACCACCTTTTTCTGGTTTGCCCACGGTTTGTCTTTTTATTTTGCTTATTCTGTGCTTCTCACCTCCTCCCACCCTGTGTACATTGGAAGTTGTACATTGTAGGACAATTCTCAGAAAGGCTATCCTAATTTTTTAGCAGAGGCACCCTTCTTTCAGCAAGGGTCATCCCTTGTTGGAGCATAGCTCATGATGCAGCCATTTACCACCCCTGACTCCAGCCTGGTGGGTTTGTTTGAAATCTGTGAATTTGGCTTTAGAATATTGCTGTTTTTGTTAAGTCTTGATTGCCTTTCCTAAAAAACAGTAAATATGGACCTAAATGAATGGCTTCTCCTGCCACCGAAAGGGCTGCCGTGTCTACCTTACTGCCCTCCTGCACTGTGCCCTCCCTTGGGCTCCACTTTGAGTTTGTTGGGCACATGCCATGTGATGCTGGGGAAGGGTTCTGGGGAAGAGAATCTCTTGACTCCCTATTTGTATGTGGGTTGTCTTCCCACTGGGATGGCTGTTAGAGTAGTTTCAGGCTCACAGAAAACTTGAGCAGAAAGTACAGAGATGGTCCCTGTACCCTGCCCCATATGCACAACTCCCCACCCTGGCCTTGCCCCTGCCACAGGAGTGCACCTGTTACCATGGATGAGCCATGATTTGCATTGGGTCACTCTTCTGTGGACATACTGTGGGCTTGGACAAGTGTGCGCGGCTCGTATCCACCATTGTCCTGTCCAAGGGGAGCTACCCTGTTGGAAATTGCTCTGTTACCCTGTTGGTGCTCCTGGCCACCAAGGTTCTTTGTGCTGTCCCCAGTTTTACCTTTTGCAGAAGGGCACAGAATTGGACTCACCCAGCATGCAGCCTTGTCAGACTGTATTCTTTCACTCAGTGATGTGCATAAGATTTCCTCCTAGTCCTCTCTGTAGATCAGCTTGATAGCTGGTCTGTGTCTCATTGTTTGGGTGGACCTCAGTTTTTCTTCTTTGGTGCTGGGGCTCAAACCTGAGCTTGTGAGCATGCTAAGCATGCACTCTACTGCTGAGCCACCCCCACACTATTCATTCATCCATCACCTGCTGAGGGCCTCTGGGTTGCTTCCAAGTTATAGTGAATAAAGTTGCTGTAAACATCTGTGTGCAGGTGGCACACAGAGTGCAATTGCTGTGTCACAGGGAAAGAGCAGGTTTGATTCTGAGTGAAGCTGCCCGTGGTTACATTCCTGCCAGCAGCGAGGGAGGGTTTCTAGGGCTCTGCACCTCAGCAGTACTCACTGTAGTAGGGGGTCTGGGTTTTGGCCATTCAAGAACATACTTTTTTAAAGTATATAAGTAGTTTTTTTTTTTTTTTTTTTATTGCTATGTAGCATTTTAGATGTGACTGTGCCATAGTTGGCCTTGTTTTCCTCATGAGGGACATGCAGTTTCCTGTTTTGGCTGTTCCTGTTGCACTGCTGTCACATTCCTGTGCACAGTCCTTTGGTGGATGTAGGACTGGCTTCTCTCAGGAACACACCTGTGAATGAGGTTTTGGTCCTGGTGCAGGTGTGTGCTTATCTTTATTGGACAGGGCCAGGCTACTTTTCCACAGCATCTGGGAGCCTTGCCCTGGCACGGCAGGTGGGGTGTGGGAGTGCAGGATTGGGGGGGACTCTCTGAGTCCAGCTGACTACCTTTGCTTATGCTTTCTGGACCTCTGGACATCCTCTGAGTGTGAAGTACCCGTTAATGTTTTTGCACATTTTTTAAAAATTGGGTTGTCATTGTCTTGCTGATTTGTAGAAGTCCTTTAATCTGAGCTCAAGTCCTCTATTGGATGTGCATATTTTGAATCTTCTATCTATAGTTTCTTTTTTCATTCTTTAGGTTATTTATTATTATTATTATTATTATTTTAGTTATAGATGGACACAATATCTTTATTTATTTATTTATTTTGTATGGTGCTGAGGGTTGAACTCAGTGCCTCACATGTGCTAGGAGAGCACTCTACCACTGAACCACAATCTTAGCCTCTACCTTGTTATCTTTTGATGAACAAAAAATTAAAAAAATTTTTTTTTAAAATAAAATTTTAAATTTTAATGAAGTTTGAATTTGTTTTTTTATGGTTAGGGCTTTTGGTGACTTGTTAGAATTTTATCTGCCCTAGGTGTGAATTTATTCTCCTGTTTTCATCTGGAAGCTTCACTGTTTTAGATTTTGAGCTGGAGTGTGGTTCAATGGTCACTTGCTTACCCAGCATGTGCGAGGGCCTGAGTTCAATCCCCAGTACCACACACACGAAGTTTATTGTTTTAAATTTGATGTTTAGGTTTCTGAAAAGCCTGAAAGCAGTCTTTTATGTATGGTGAAGCTGGGGCTGAAGTTCACATTCCAGTTATGAAGATGCAGTTTTTCCAGCACCCTATATCAGAATAGCTGTCTCCCCCTCGCCACTGTCTTGGCTGTGTGTGGGAGTCTGTGCAGACTCTGGTGATGTCACTGTGTCTTCTGGCTATCAATCTCACAGGCCTTTGCTGTGTCCTCAGATTCCTGTGCTTTAGCTCCTTCTGCTGTTCTTTGCTTGTTGTTTTGGCTATTTCTGCTAATTTGTATTTCTTCTTTCTTTTTTTTTTTTAAGGGAATTTTTTTTATATCTTTATTTTGTTTATTTATTTTTATGTGGTGCTGAGGATCGAACCCAAGGCCTCGCACGTGATAGGCAAGCGCTCTACCACTGAGCCCCAGCCCCAGCCCTAATTTGCATTTCTACATAAATTTTAGAATCAGCTGGTTGATTTCCAAAAGAAAGCCTGTCCAAATTTTGCCTGGGATTACATTGAATCTCTAAGTCAAATAGTAAAGAATGACTGCATTGACCCCTTAGCGTGTTCTACCTTGACAAGAACAAGGTCTGTGAGCGTACATTGTTATCTCTTCCTTTCCACCTTTCCTCTTTTTTACTCTCAATGCATTATTATATCTTTTATTACTGTTCTAGACTCTCTAGGATAGTGTTGAGTAGAAGTGTTTCATTCCTGACCTCATTGTGAAATGTTCAATATCTTGTTATTAGGAATGGTGTTGTTTTGCCTTATTCTTCTTTGTACCTATGGAGATGGCTATGTTATTTTTTGTTTATTTTGCTGATGTGGTGAATTCCATTCATTTGTGGCTGTTGAAGTCACCTGGGTTTCTGGAGTAAGTAGCCCCTGGGCCGTGGCACGTTTTGTGCTCGGTGTGGTGCTGCAGTGGGGCCATGTGCATGGAGGCTGCTGCACTGCCCAGCCACACACCCCGCTGCGCTGTCAGTGTGCACTGCTGGGGTTAGATTCCCATGGTCTGTTCAGGGCTCTGGGGGCCAAGGCCATGGAAGACACTGCCTTTCATTATCTGTTCTAATTAGTTACACGTGACAGCAGAGTGCATTTTGACTCACTGTGCACAAATGGAGCACAGCTTTTCATTTCTCTGGTTGTACACGACATGGAGTGATACCAATCGTGCAACAGTCATACACGTACCTAGGGTGATGATATCTGTCTCAGTCCACCATCTTTCCTATCCCCATGCCCCTTCCCTCGCCCCTCTCCGCCCAATCCAAAGTTCCCCCATTCTTCTCATTCCCCCCTTCTTTCTGTTTTCTGCCAGAGCTGGTATGAGCCTGGGGCCCCCCTTGATCTGTGGCTGCTCTCTGTCTGTTTCCTCCTGGTCTGAGCACACTGGGAGTCGTAGTCGGGCATGTGTGGAAGGTTGCTCTGTTTGGGTTTGATGCTTTCCCAGGGCTGTGGATTTGTGGGGTGCCCTCCTCTGCCCACGTCAGGATGTCTGATGCCAGTGTCACTTCTCTCCAGTGACAATGGTTTTGGCACCTGCTTAGGTGACCACCAGTGCCCTCCATCCTCTGTCCTCCAAAGGATGTTGTGTAGTGCTGAACTAGCGCTGGGAGGGTTGAGCTCACTCCAGAGTTGTGTAAGCCTGGCACTTGTAGGCATGGGGCAGGAGCTGCATGAGGCTGGATGGTGCCTGTCTCTCCTCCTCCTACCAGGGTTCTGTTGGGAGGTGTCTCTCCCCTGTTCTGTCAGTTTTTACATTGTCAGTTTTGTAGCAGCATCTAGCTCCTCCCTGAGAAGACCCCTGCTCTAGCTCCCAGTTCACTTTCCTGCCTTTGCCTGCGCCATTCTGCTGATCTGTTATTTTTTGGTTAAAAATGTCTTGGGGCTCAGCATAGAGTGTTCGCCTGGCACGTGTGAGGCACTGGGTTCAATCCTCAGCACCACATAAAAACAAGTAAATAAAATAAAGGTATTGTGCGCTGGGGTTTGGCTCAGAGGTAGAGCGCTCACCTGGCATGCTTGAGGCACTGGGTTCAATCCTCAGCACCACATAAAAATAAAATAAAGATATTGTGTTGGGCTGGGGATGTGGCTTAAGTGGTAGCACGCTCGCCTGGCATGCGTGCGGCCTGGGTTCAATCCTCAGCACCACATACAAAAAAAAAAAAAAAAAAAAAAGATGTTGTGTCCGCCGAAAAATAAAAAATAAATATTAAAAATTCCCTCCTTTTCTCTCTCTCTCTCTCTTAAAAAAAAAAAAAGTTATTGTGTCCACCTAAAATTAAAAAATAAATATTTAACAAAAAAATAAAGGTATTGTGTCCAACTACAACTAAAAAAATATTTTTACAAAACAACAAAAAATGTCTTAATTATCATATTTTAAATTTTCTAGTACTGGGTCTTTGGTTTTGGTTTGGGGCTAGGGACCGAGTCCAGGGCTTCACGTGTGCTGGGCAAGCCCTGCCCCTCCTGGGCTCCACTCCAGCCCCAGGGCTGTCTTTTTACTTAGTCTCTTCATGTGCTTCAGGATTGGAGTCCCCTCTGGTGGTGTGTGCATGACTCTGCCAGGGAAGTTGATTCTTCCTGACTGCAGGCCTGGGTGCTCTCCCTCTCTTCCCCTTATGCATCTTTTTGCTTTGGGGTGGTGCCTAGGCTCCTGTCTCAAAACAAAAAACCAAAAGGTATGTATATAGCTCAGTGGTAGAGTAACCCCAGGTTCAATCCCTAGTACCAAAAAAAAAAAAAAAAAAAGGTTCTGAAATTGAAGTTTGCCCAATCAGAAACAAACCACACATCTACCAGCAGGGCATCCTCCTCACCCAGGAGCGAACTAGAGGACCACCGCTGACAAGTGGGCCAGAAGATGCCACACCTGTGGAGTGTGGGCTGGGAAAGGAGAGCTCCTCAGAGCACCACAGAGCTCCCGGAAGCAAGCGAGAAACAGAAGGCTGCCAGAAGCTGTCATTGTCTTGCTGATTTGTAGAAGTCCTTTAGTCCAGGCTCAATTCCTCTGTTGGATGTGCGTATTTTGAATCTTCCATCAGTAGCTTCTCTTTTCATTCTTTAGCTTGTTGTCTTTTTCTTCTTCTTATTATTTTAGTTATAGGTGGACACAATACCTTTATTTATTTATTTTATGTGGTGCTGAGGTGCCTCACATGTCAGTCCATATGCATGTGAATGCCAGTCTTGAGCGGAGCCCGTTGCTTCTGCAGGCTCTGTGGTACCTCTTGCAGATGCAGCCGAGGGGAGCCTCCCTGTGGAGGCTGCAGGCTTGGAGGCAGCAGCATGGGAGCCTGGGGTGTGGGGTTCCTGTCCTGGGCCTGAGGGTCTGCAGTTCTGGAGTTGTGCTTGGCTGCTGGCTCCCGGGGGAACAACTTCATTTTTCCAAAGTGTCCAAGTTTCAAGGGCGCTCTGTGCTAGTGGGTTTACTGTAAGATTCTCTCACTGGGAAGAAGCCCAAGGAGAGTGGGCTGTGGCAGCTTATTAGTAACTGTTTTTTGTTTTTTTTTTTTCCTTTTTTTCAGGTACTGGGCATTGAACCCAGGGGTGTTGTTCTACCATGAGCTGCACCTAGCCCCACCCCCCCTTTTTTTTTTTTTTTGAGACCGGGCCTTGCTAAGCTGCTGAGGCTGGCCCTATGGTGCTCCTGCCCCAGCCTCCCAAGTTGCCTGGTGTGCACCACTATGTAGGTTCTGGTAACTGTTTTAGGAGCATGTGTTTACTCACAGGGTCTTTTTATGTTTACAGAATGTGCATGTTGAAGGCTTGTGACTAACTGACTCTACTAGTGGTACTCACTGAATTCATCATGTATTAAAGATTAGTCAGGAGTGGAGTAGGGAGTTAGTACCTGTGGTCATGGGTGTTCTGTTTGGGGTGCTGAAAAATGTATTGAATTGTGCTGATGGTTTCACAACTCTGAATTGCAGGCTTTAAGTGGGAACTTTTTCAGCATTTGAATATATCACATACAGATGTTAACAAGTTGCTTACTACAGCAATCTTATGTCCCAGCTCGGTGAGTCTAAAACAAATAGACCACAGCTGGGGCTTAGACAGCATAGGTGCAGTTCTGCAGCCCAGGAAGCTGGATGTCCAGGCCCCAGGCCCCGACAGAGTCAGTGTCTGGCCAAGGCTGCTTCCTGGTTCCTAATGGTGCCTTCTCACTGGGTTTCTCATGTGGGGGAGGTTGGGGTTGGGGTCCCTTTCATAAGGGCACAACCTCCTGAGATTATACTATGGGGACCAGGGCCCTCTATGTTGGGAAAGAGCCTGTGAAGGAGAAACCCCCAGCTGACTGTTTACCCTTGAGCCTCGAGGGGCCACGGAGTGTGGGGATCAATCTGTGCTCCTGCATCTGTGAGCCTGTGCACACTAATGGGAGGTGGTGGTCAGAACTGCTGTCTTTCTGACCAGCTGGCCAGGATCTTGCCTTTGCCCCAGGCCTCAGGGCACAGTGACTAGCCCTCTCCGACAGGAGCCCTTTGAGCTGAGGGGCTCAAAGTGCTGGGGTCTCAGCAGGGCGGGGCTCCCTGAGGCAGGGTGAGGCTCATCCCTGACTTGCCAGGCCACATGCCCCAGCTGTGGCTTTCCTGGGCGTGGCTCACCAAATGCCCACCTTTGGCTGGCTGTCATTGTTAGTGAAGTTCAGCTATGAGCAGCATGCCAGCAGCACATCCATATTAGAGAAATCAGGCAGCGAGTATTTAACTTTTGTAGGTGAAGTGGAGGCTGTTTGGGGTGTCCCAGGAGGAGTGGTCTGGGGGCTAGAGGACCCTGGTGGGACTGGAGATCTCAGGGGTGGCAGTTCTTCTTGCTGTCCTAATCTTGTTCTGCCCACACATATTCTGGATGCCCCAGAGGGCCTCCCCACATGCCCACACTGTAGACGTGAGGCCTGTGTCAGGCTGACCTCAGGACCCTCTGCTGCTGGCCTCTGGACCTCTGCATTTTCATGGATGTACAGGAGGCCCTGCTGTTTTCCTGCCCATGAGGCAGTACTCTGTTCCCTCTCTCTTAGCCCACAGCACTTAGGGAAGCCCTGCTTTTGAAAGGGGTGTGGCCCTGTCATGGCCTTTGCAGCTCCGTGAGCCCTGGGACACTCAGTGCTGCCTGGTGTACCAAGTGCCATTCTCCCTTTGCAGTGTGGAAGTTCGGCTTGTTGGGCTGTCCCTTTCTCTGCTCTCTCCTCTAGCCAGTCAGCCAGCGCTGTGGGGTAGAGATGGTGTTTGGGCACATGGCTGTGGGAGAAGGGGTGTTTCCACCTCAGGGCATAGGCAGTCAGGAAGTAGTACCAGGCTGAACCTGTGGGACCCAGGGAGCCTCTTCACAGCTACCACTCAGGGCTGGAAACAGGATTTCACCGATATGAAAACCATAGGAAATTCCCTTTACAGTGTCCATATATAAAAATCAATTAGACACATTTACACAAAGTGAATTTAAAACTTACTAGGAAAAGGTCGAATCTGATTACTCTTAAATTGCTAAGGTGGTTACGTGATGCTTCTTTTTAACCAGAGTTGTTTTGAGTGGCAGCATCTTGGTAAGTCACTGCTATTGTGTCCTAGGGAGGCGCCACATCCACCACCTGGGGAGCCAGCTGCAGCTGAACCAGCACTGCCTAGACACAGCCTTCAACTTCTTCAAGATGGCCGTGAGCAAGCACCTGACCCGAGGCCGGAAGATGGCCCACGTGATTGCTGCCTGCCTCTACCTGGTTTGCCGGACAGAGGGCACACCACGTATCCTTTGTCCAGGGAGCCCCCCAGAAGACTCCATGCTGGTTCTTGGTTGCTTTCCTTGGATGATTCAGTAGTTGCAAGAACTTGATGCTGGTATTAACTGGCAGATAACCTCATTGGATCACCATTCTCAGTTGACCCCAGGCTTTCTTTTACTGAATTGAGGGACCAGGAAGCAAGATGCCTGTTCTTTTGCAGTCAGGGGAGCCAGGGTTCTGCCGACTCCTGGAAACCATGTCCTGGATTTTCTTCTGATCTTGAACTGACTTGTACTTGGGTGCCATTTTTGGTGTCTTCCTCTGGTTTAAGGAGGTGGAGTGTTGCTGCCAAATTAGATGTAACCAGACTGGGCTTGTTGTCCCTGCAGACTTGGGGCTGGAGGAGGAAGGGGGTGGCCTGCAGTGTTTGCTGGCCCCGCTCCTGCCCCTCACAGGCATCTGGTCCTGACCTCTGCACATGCACACGTGCATTGGGAAGTCTAGTCATTGGTCCTGAAGAAACCAGGGCACCTCAACCTCCCCATCCTGTACTGTCTGCCATGCAATGCCTTTTGGGGATTCTTCTCCTCTTTCCTTGGGTCCCTGGTCATGTTCTCCTCATTTTGCAGGGCATTTTCTCTGAAGGCTCCCTGAGAAAGGATCTGCTTTGAGCTCTGAGCCTGTGAAAATGATGGAGTACAGAATTTCAGTGACAAATGTGTCCCACAGGCCACAGGGTGCTGCCCAGTGTCTTGCTCCAGTATTCCCAGCCTGCACTGGTGCCCCACTGAGCCCTGACTCTTGGTGTGACTATTTTGCTTCGCCCCATAGGCCTGAGCATCTTCTGCTTGTCTTCAGGGGTGTGACTCCTGGGCACCTCCGTCTGACTGCTTTTGGGCCTGGACTTGCCTCGAGTCTCCTGCTTCTGCTTCCTGTGCTCACTGCACCTGCCCCACTGCAGGCCTCAGGTGCTCTCCCTCTCTTCCACTTTTGCTTTGGGGTGGTGCCTAGGCCCCACCTTCTGGCAGCCTTCGTGTTTCTTGCTTCCGGGAGCTCTCTGGTGCTCTGAGGAGCTCTTCTTTCCCATCCCACACTCCACAGGTGTGGCATCTTCTGGCCCACTTGTCAGTGGTGGACCCCTAGTCCGCTCCTAGGTGAGGAGGATGCCCTGCTGGTAGATGTGTGGCTTGTTTCTGATTGGGCAAACTTCAATTTCAGAACCTTTTTTTTTTTTTGGTACTAGGGATTGAACCTGGGGTTGCTCTACCACTGAGCTATATGCATACCTTTTAGTTTTTATTTTGAGACAGGGTCTTGCTAAGTTGCCCAGGCTGGCCTAGAACTTGTGATCCTCCTGCCTCAGCCTCCTGAGTTATTAGGATTGTAGACATGCACTACCTGCCCAGCAAATTTCAGAATCTGTCCTTAAAATGTCCTTTTAAAAGCTGGAAATTTATCATTTTAGCCTGCAGTGTATTGTTGCAACCCACTTAGAAACCTTTGGATCTTAGAAACCGTTGAAGAGCAATGGGGGATTAAGAAAGACAAACACTTATAGAGCGAAAGCTGGGACCAGGTGGGACACCATCCTCAGATGGAGGAACAATGACCCAGAGCCAGCTCAGCACATTCATTATATAGGTTTTATCATCAAAACCTGTGAGAAAGTTTCTGTGAGAAAATTTCTTCAAAGCAGGCAGTCTTGAAGGTGTAAGTACTGGCAAGCAATTATAATTATCTTGTTGCACTAATAATTCTCTATCTCTACCAGCTGGTGTCTGAACTCAGGGTCAAGACTGATAGTTCCATGACTTGCATAGGACCTCCTCAGGCAGGACATCACCATGGTAACTGGGCAATCTTGTCCTGTACCTTTTGCACAGGAAGTTCCCAGCATAAGTGCAGTAATAGCCATGAGGCAGAGACCATGATCCAAGTCACCACTCTCCACGGGGTATAAAGTGTAATTGCTTTAAGGGATGATGTGAACACCCAGACAGTCCTTGTGCACATTAGGAGCAGAGCCCAGCTTGCATGACTACTTTGCCACAGCCCTGCCTCTGCCAGGGCTGAGCACCTCTGCAGATCCTGTGCTGAGAAGACTCCTAGCCTGGAGGCAGGAGCAGCAGCATCACTGTGCAGAGACTAGGAAGCAGGACCCTAGGGTGGCCAGCCTGGACACTGCAAAAGCCTGGGGGCATCTAGGTGTGTATGTGCGTGCCACCCCAACCCTCCTCTCGCCCTGTGCAGAAAATGCATCCTTGACTGCTCTGGAAAGTGAGCAGCTCGGGGTGAGGTGATAGACACCAGCAGAACAGGCAAGTGTCCTGCAGCCTGAGGTAAAGTGTGGCTCTGTGCCTTGTGTGCTGCTGGTGGGAGGAGCAGTGTGTGGTGCTCTGGGAGGCCACGCCTCCTGAGGCTCCCAGTCACCACGGACACAGTAGCCCACTCCCAGGTGTTACCTGACACAAAAGCCTGTGTCCACACAGTGCAAATACTGTAGTGTTGACAGTAGCCAAGATCTGGGACCATCCGAAGCATCCTCTTGGTGAATGATCAGCCAGGTGCAGTGTATCTGTACCAGGAGCGTCGTGAGCCATGAAGATGAAGTACGGGATGAACCATGGAGATGTGTCCAGGCAGTGGTGACAGTCACATAGCTCTGCAGGTGAAGTGGAAGCCGCTGCACAGTTGGAGCTCACGACCCTGCTAAAGATATCATTGTGCCCCCAGGCTGGGCATTGCACTGAGGCCAGCGTCTCAGCCCCTCTGGGCTGTAGTGGCCTAGCTGGGCCCCACCCTCCAGCCTTGCTCTCCTCAGTACTTCTAGTAGCTGTGTCTGGTGGCCTACCTCTCATTTCCCCGTATACCCTGTCTTGGTGGTGCTTTGGGGGAAGATGGGGAGACAGGTGTGGCTCGCTCTTCTCTGTTCCTTTTCAAGCTGATGGCAGCACCGTGAGCATCTGTCCTGCTTGTACTGGTGCACCTCTGTCTGTCGCTGCTCTCTGTCTTCTCCCTTCCCGCTGCCCACAGCGTGCATGACTCTTCATCCTGGCCGCTCCTGCAGTGAGGCCATCTGGCTGGGCTCACAGACTGGCTCAGCTTGGCTTCCACATGAGAGCCACACCCTGGGAGGTGTGCAGAGCCAGACTGCGGTCCTCATCCCCCCCCCCCCCCCCCGCCCCGGCCCCCCCCCCCCAGCACTGCCAGTGGGATGCCTGGTCCTGCAGGGCATGCTCCTTTCAGCCAGGGGGAGCAGTGCCTTCCACCTGACCCATCACCACACCACCTTCAGTGGGACCTGGGGGAGTCCTGTGCTGTGAGCTCACTGTGCAGGGAACAGGTGCCCTGGAGAGGCACCTGGGATTCTCCTATCACTCTATCCAGGCTGTGGGCAGGAATGGCCCTGGGCTGGTGGCGAGACACAGGAAGTTCTTATTCAGGAAGGACAAGAGCAGGATGTAGGCTTTCAAGCTCACTCCTTCCTCTTCCGCCTGTCTTTCATTCTTGTCTTGCACACATGACCCTTCCCTCTGCTCCACAACTTGCTGGCCCCCACTACCAGTCCCCAGTCCCCAGAGGAGACGAGTCCCACCTGGGGCCAGCCTGGCTGGGCTTGCCCTGGAAGCAAAGACTCAAATCTGCCGCTGACCTGAAGGCACAGGATCCTGAGGTGGCTCAGGGCACTTTTATCGTGTTCCTAGTGCCCTGTGTTCTGGGTCAGTTGAGTGCTTCAGGGCTCCCTTTCCCATTCTCTGCCGCCAGGCTCCCATACCACCTCTCGCTTTTCCTTCTGCCTGCCTCCTCAAGAATAGTGGGTTTACATTTTCTAAGTGGACAGTACAGTTGGATGGTAGCCTGTGGAGGAGCCCCACCCACCAGGCATAGCCCCTGCCCTGTCACGCTTGCGAAGGCCAGCACAGAAAGGACTGCACGTCTCTGGCTTGCCCAGCTGTGGGCTCAGGACTTTGAGCCCTGCTAGTCAGTATATCCTGGCTGCCAGTGTCCACTGACAATGGCCGTATGCCCACCCTGGGTCCTGCAGTTGGGCGCTCTGCCCCAGAGCCGAGCGTTTGCAGTAGTAGTGGCCGGCGGCCCATTGTCCATGTGGCCTAGGCAAGCATCCCTGCACTCCCATTGCCTTTTCACCTCTCAGTGGCATCTTTTGAGGAACAGAAGTTCTTCAATTTAACAAAACCCAATTATTCATCTTTTCCTTTATAGTTAATGTTTTTGCACCCCATTTAAGAAGTCCTTGCCAGGCTGGGATGTAGCTCAGTGGCAAAGCCCTGGGTTCGACCCCCAGAGTTCCAAAAAAAAAGAACTTCACCAAAAAAAAAAAAAAAAGACTGGAAAAAAAAAAGTCTTTGCCTTCTGAGGAAGGAGGCTTCTTCCTGCCCAGGTGTGCAGATGACATGGTGCAGTCACAGCAGAGAACCTCCTGTCCCACTGCTCAGTGGGGGTGCTGCCGTTGCAGCATGGAGTGTGGGGTGGGCTCTGAGCCCGTGAATTTGAAGAATGAAACCCAGAGACACGAGAGCGAGGGCAAAGTGACGGGGTTTATTAGGGTAGCAGAAAGCAAGCAGGCAGAGCTCCCCAGGGAGGGGAGCCTGGGAGCAGCTGCTGTCTGGGGGTTCATGTGGACCTCCATGGCTGAGGGAGCTGCCCCGACCCGGTCCTGGCCAGGCACTAGGTGTCCACTGCTCTTCATGCGCTCCCTGGCCCACTCAAGTTACTGAGGCCCTTCTTGGTGGGGGTCTGGGTCCCAGAGAGCAGGCGTCTCACCATGGGTCTTCCCTGTGTACACAGGAGCTGGCCTGACCTGGAGGAGCCAGGTGTCCTGCCTGCCCTGCTAACCCTTTCCCTGCCTCACCACCGTGAGCCTCGCAGATGTGCCCGGTGCCAGCATCTGGCCCCTTTTCTCAGTCTGTGCCCGTGCTTAGTGCCAATGCCAAGTTATTTCAGAACGACCGTCACACAGGGTGTCTCAGTGTCTGTGGCATGAGGTGCAGGTCTGCTCTG